ACGATAATTTATTTTGAATAAACCTTTAAAAATATGTAGGTATAAAAAGAAAGTTTAGTCTTATTAAAATGAAAAACACGAAATACTTAATCATATAACCTTATATATAGTATACTCTGTACTAAAAGCTATTCTACCATCAGCTGTATACTGAAAAGCTAAAATTAAAATTTGAAAAATCAAAATTATTCCCATTATACTCCCAAAATTTCAATCAATGGTCAGACTTTTTCTTGAAAGTAATGCTACCAAAGAATTCACAAAATTTATGATATAATTTTTACTTTTTATAATCTCATAATTTTTAGCTTCCTCAAAGTTGTTTTTTATACACTCAACTGTAATTAAACCTTTTTACACCAAAAATAGTATCCAAACTACAAACATGTGCACCTTTTTGAGCCGTTATCAAAGATAGAGAGTTTCCATTAGGTTTATTATGAAATATATCATTTCATCCTAAGAACTATACCTTATGAAGATAATATAATATTTTTTATCAATGAAATGTACATTAAAATAACTAAAATTACTGGAAGAGAAACATAAACAAAGCTTTATTATAATCAGAAACTATATTGAATTTAGTACTCAAACTAACTGTCCAAGAACCTGGGGCCGGATTCATCATTGATTTTACCTAGGGTAAATGCGGCCACGCCCCTACCTTGGTGATGTACCGTGATTCATCATTTTTGTTACCACTACCTTAACCACAAAAAAGGGGGTATATATGTACCCATTGCTGAGGCAGGGTTTCGCAGATACCTTACCTCCTTACAACTTGACCCATAGTGATGGGAACTGGCGCATGCTGAGAACACCGCATGACATAAATGCGGTGAATATTAGCTGTCTCTCACTAGGCACTGAACACAAGAAATGTGTGATATTTCTTACTGAATTCAATGTATAAACACAATAGAACATTCAACTTTGAAGTGTACATATTTAACCGCAAATAAAGAACATTGAAAACTGTATCAGGCATTCGGGATATCATATCAAACAGTTGAAAAGGTATGCTTAGTTGGAAAAAAACCATCTCACTGAGAAATTTTACAAATGATTAAAGTTGCAAGTTATATTTTTAAAATTCTTTTCGAGAAAATTGTACAATAAACAAATTTGAAATTAATCAAACGCAGGTAATTAATTCAGCTTCCAGTGGCGCCATTAAACGTCACTAAAAAGACAAAGATTAAGTTTACTGCGACCATTCATGAAAAACCGAATGGAGTATAGGGAGGCTGTACACTCATTCCACTTTATGATTGAAAAATGTAGTAAAATTAACTTATGTAGTTTAACTCGAATTTCGCTGGCCTCTGGCTTAAAAGTTTGTGTTATAAAACTTTTTTTCAAAATTATTTCAGAACATTTGCTGTGTACTGATACCACAAATGGTTTTTCGTTGAACTACCAAGTTCAAAAATTTGGACAACAATCAACAAAACGCTGAAATCTCATCTAAAAGCACTTTTCAAAAAGAACGTAAGAAATAAATTGACTAGAACAAAAAGCCAAACCTACTATGGTAGTGACGGGGTTCAATTGTTTTTCGAAGAGTAGATTTTCGAACAGAGAACCAAAATTAGTTTGATAGTTTCTTCAAGGATGAAAAAGTACTTTAAGCCCACCACAATTACTCCACCACACACCGAAGACTAACGTTTAAGGCTGCTCTCTTATCACTATTCAAAAAGTAAAAATTCCGTTCATCTCGCTTTAGCCAGTCAAAATCGCATACTTTTGCTCCTAAATATGTGATGGTCTTCAGAAAAAAAAAGTGCGAAAATATGACCTCAACGACATACACACGGAGGGACGATGTTAAAAAAATAAAGCACTGTAGATCAATATTGCGTAACATCGTAACGCAAACAAG